GCGTAACGGGCGAGGCTGAGGAGGTGGGTGGGCGTGGCTTGCCTGAGGGGCGTGGCCACATGAGGGAGGGGCGTTGAGCTGGGTGAGGCAGGCCTGCGAGCGGTTGGGGGCGCGAGGATTCTGGGGATCCGCCGGAGGGAGGGAGTTGACCAAGCCCGATCGCACCTACAGGAGAGGGCGGAGGTCTCGCGCAAGTTTGGGGGCTTGCGCGGCGGAGCTCCGTCGCCCCGAGCAGGGTCCCCTGCGGCCTGGCCGGGCACCTGGAAGGAGTGTCCGGCTCGAGTTCCCCGCGGAGTTAGCGGTAGCAGGGACACGCGCCCCCGCCCGGTGAGTTGTGCGTTGCCCCGGGCCCGGGGTGATGACGCAGTGTCGCTCCCCGACCCGGGACGCAGGGCCCCGGCTCGCGTCATGGGGGCGGCGCCGAGTCATCTGGGCTGCTGCGCGGGGCCCCCAGGCCACAGTGACCCCTGGCCACGGCACGGCCACAGGTGACCCCCCTCGACCCCCGCCGCAGGCGACCCCCTACCGGCTGGGCGCTGGGCGTCGGGGGGACTGGAGGGCAGAGGGAAGCCGGGAGGTGGTGTCCAAAGCAGTTGTCTGATGGGTTCCCCTTCATGAGAGGGGTGCCCGGGTCCCCGGCTCACCTGGTCTGGGGGTCGGGTTTGCGTCCTACCTAGAGCTTGGCAAAGCACTCAGCACTTTTGGGGTCACTCAGACCTGCGAGGATAATCGCGAGGACCCACCCAGATCTTGTTCTCTCCTTTTTCACTAAACTTATTAAATATGGCTATATATGGCAAGATTTGGTATATTCAGGGCTGGGAGGACATGGGGGACATTTCAGTAATTCTCAGGGCTTGTGTGCTAGATGAAATCGGCATTTAAGTTACTTTCTTCTTGGCCCCTCCTCCCTCCTTGCCCCTCCTTTCTTTCTCCGCCCCCCCCCCAAATACCTCTGTTTGGTAAAACTAACACCCATGCTAATTCCTCCAGGCACACAGTGCCCAGGGGAGCCCATCAGTGTTGCCTCCAGCTTTCCTGGTGCCCGTTATACCTGGAAGGGGATATGACCGTGGCTGCCAGCTTCCTCCTGGGGTGGTTTGGGCGTGGGAAGTAACCTTTGGATTAGTTAGGTGCACTGTGATTCACAGGCATGGGGCTGCTTATCAGGGTGGCTGGGGTGTGCCCTGACCACATGACCCCCTGAGTCATTGCATCCTTGCTTTAAGCCATCCCAGACAAAGGGTGAGATTTCAGTCAGACTTGCCTGTGGAAACCAAGTTACAAGAATTACAAGAGAGTGCCACTCCCAGGCATTTTATTCCAACTCAGTTTATTGCATGGACTCCACCCGCACAGACCGCAGCCTGAATGGACAGACAGCTTCCTTTCTGTGGCTACTGAGCGTGGCCTGTGTCACCCTGGGGACCTGACTGAATCCCGCCTGCCCTAGTTTCCAGGATCTGAGAGCAGGTGTGGACTCAGGAGGGAGAAACTAAGGCACAATTCTCCCCAATCTGTGGGATTCCCTGGGGTGCCAGGCACTAGGTTATTTCACACTCACCATAGCCTACACAGAAGGTCGGACCCTGTTTCCACGTTAGAGTCCACGCCAGGGACGCTCGGTGCGGAAGCAGCCGCACGCCATCCACACACCTGTATTGTCCACACCACACACGCACCTCTACCACCGGAAAACAGAAATGAAGGCAGAAACTAAGCAAGATCCCAAGACTCCATCAAACCAATTTTCAAATGGCTAAATTTGGGGGGGAGCACAATTAGATAGCAACACCTTAAATAATTATCAAGACTGGATTGGTTGAAATTATAGAATGTTCATTACTGGTGGTGCTACAGGGAAAAAATGGTATCAGGATTTGTTACACTTGTTTTAAATACATACACACGCATATAAAATTGCACAGGAGGACAACCTTAGTACCTAGCTTTTGTTTTTGGGACAAAGTATTTTTATTTCCCTCCCATTGAGGTTCTATTGGTTTACAGCACTGCTGAAATTCAGGTGGATAGCTGGCCACCTGCCTCTGCACGCCCACCACACCCGCCATCAAAGGTGCGATTTGCACCCACCACCTCGCTAGGGGCCCCTCTCTCTCTCCCCTCCCCAAGCCTGGTAAGCACCGTGCATCTTGCTGTCAGCTCGAGGGTTTGATTATTATTTGTTTGCTTCATTTTTTCATCTTTCACATGAGTGAAATTCCCGGAAGTGGAATTTTTGGCTTAGGTGCATTTTCATTTCCTCCTTTTTTATTTTTATTTTGTAATTCTAAATGCCGCGGATTTGCACAGCATAAGCTGGCATAGCTGTCATGGTCAGTCCAGGCATGGATTCTGACCTTGCACACATCATGTTTTTGGAAGGTGCCTAAAATTTGCTCTCCCCCTCTCCTTTTCTTCTGGAAGGCTGCTCTAGAGATGAAGAGAGAATGCCAACCCCAGACTCAGGAGCAAGCCCTAAAAGACCCTTTAATTGATTGTCTGGTACTGATCTCGCCTGCCTCACCGGGTTCTAAGGCCCTTTAGAAATAGTGCCAGAGCCCAGCACTTATACTCAAGCAAGGGTGTTTGTTATCTTTTCTGAAGTGAACATCGTTGTTTTATTATTACTATTATTCGTGTGTGTGTGTGTGTTTTACTAAAAGAGCTGGGGTGTAGGCCAGAGTTGTTGGGCAGAAGGAGGTGGTGAGAGAACTCACCAGGGACGGGGGAGCAGTCCACTGAAATCCACTGCTGAGGGGAGCAGCGGGGAGACAGGAGCAGTCTGCTGCACCCAGTAGGTCAGCTCCCTGGCCTGGGATGGAACTCAGTCTCTATGGGTGACACTGTTGAGCCTTAGGCCTCCAGAGAGGCCCCGAAGTGGACACTTTTATATAAGATCGAGTTTTCCTATCTTGCGAATTTGCTAATATTCTTTGCACATATTTCTACTATTGCAGGCCTTTGTTTACCTTTTTCTGGAGCCCATTTTACACCATCGCCTTAGCAGTTTGAAGAGTATGTCATTGATTCTGGCTGCTTTTCTGGACCATCAATTTGTCTGCTGCTTTTTTCTCCTCTCTGATAATGGTCCTTATGATTCTTGGTTTGTAACTGCCCTGGATGTCAGAGCAACTTAGGATCACTGACAGGCTTATCTTACTCTGTTCAGGAACAAGGAAACTGCCTTTACTATGTTAAAGGCCCTGGCGATGGCCTGAGGCAGCTCGTCCTGTCGCATTCAGTGCAGGCCATGCCACTTTCATGACAGGCTCTTTATCAGAACTGGCTGTTCAGTTATTTTATTAGTACATTTTCTGCTATAAAATTATACGTCACACAGCTTGGAGAGTCTCCAGGGCGTGGCTGCCCTGTTCTTCCTTTTGATTCAGCAATTTTACTACTATGTGGGCTGCCTGAATGGAAAAACGAGTCATCTAAGCTGGGACGGAAAGTCTCAGCTCGAAGCCTCCTGTGTATAGACTTCAGGAGGGTTTGAAAACAGACTGTGTAAGCGAGGACAGCGGACACAAATTCTCAGGTGCATGTTGCCCTGGGCGCTTGTGTCAGTTCCCAAAAACTCAGGCTTAAACACTCATCAGCCTCCTGCCGTTACAGACTTGAGTCTCAGTAGGTTGCACTGCATGAAACAAAGCAGTTGGCAGGGCCTGGCCCCTCAGGCAGGGAATGTTCCTTGTCTTTTCCCTCTGTTAGAGCTGCCTACCCGGCCCCTGGCCCCTGGCCCCTGGCCCCTGGCCCCTGGCCCCTGGCCCCTGACCTCCTAACCCCCTGGCTCCTGACCCTTAGCCTCTGCTCCAGTTCAAGCCAGCAGGCAGAGCCGCCTCTGGCTACTGTCCTTTCTTGCTTCCTCTGTCCAGTCTTTTTGCCACAGAATGGAGGGATTAGGATGGGGCTGTTTTGGGGGCCTGCACTCTGCCCCCAGTGATGAGATGTGAAGGGCTCATGAATTCCCGACTTCCCTGCATGTCTAGTGCCCTCTCTGCCAGGCCCAAGAAGGTCCCCACGGTTCAGATGAGTCACTGCCAATGCTAGCATGCCTGACCGCACCCTGGGGTAATATTCCTTGGTAAATACTTGGAACTATGATGCTTTGGGCACTGAGCCCTGGTCACTTCACCCCACTACTGGGGGGGTGGGGATTGGCCCGCTCTGCAGAGCCAGGGGCAGGCTGACTGGTGGGGCCTTCCTGTCCCACCGTCCATGCTCCCCAAGGAAAGGGCTTCTAACCGAAGTGCAGAGACAGATCCTGGGACTGCGGTCCACCTGGGCTCAGCAAGGGCCTGTCGAGTCCTTCGACCACGCCCCACACCTCAGCCCCTCTCCCAACACCCTGCGGGGTCCCTGTTCCAGCCCCTCAGGGCTGCCGGGCGGGCCCTGCCTGTCACCCAGGGAGCCACAGCTGTACAAGTGCGCAGCCTGGTCCCTGGGGCCCATATCCGGAGGAGGATGAGGGCCGGCCCCACTGCCCTGGACCCACCAGTGCCCTCAGCCCAGGACAGGAGGCAGGAGGGCTGGGGGACAGGCACAGGCCTGGCTGTCACCGTGCCAGTTCCCGGAGCCCCAGGCAGAGGGGCCTCCCCCGGGTTCTCACAGGCTCTGCCTGCGCTGTGACCCTGAGGCTGCAGGTCACCCCGGGGCCTCTCCACATGCAAAGCAGCAACCCCAGGATCCCAGCGCTCACAGGCCGGCGAGCGTGTCCACTGTCGGAACCGCGGGGTCAGCCGTTCCGGCCACAGGGCCGAGCGCCAGGCCGGGCCCGTGCGTGACTGACCCACCCCGTTCCAGGCTGGCCAGCATGGACGCACTCGCGGACGCCAACGGCTCCTTTGCCTTCGACCTCCTGAGAGAGCTGGGAGAAAGCGACTCGAAAAATGTGTTTTTCTCGCCCATGAGCGTCTCCTCTGCCCTGGCCATGGTCCTCCTGGGGGCCAAGGGGAGCACCGCGGCCCAGATGTCGCAGGTACGCACCCGGCCACTTCCGGGACCCCGCACCTAGGGAGGGGCTGGTGGATGGGGCCGGGCTGCTGAAGGGCGCCTGCAGGGAGCCGCAAGCTCACATCCAGAATCACAACCACATGGGTCACGGGTCCTTCCTGTGAGTGGCGTCCCCACTGCTAGAGGTTCCTTTCATTCTCCCAGGAGAGGAATCCGGGTGTAAGACTCCTGAGACCCGGGCTTGTGGCCACGTGAGCATGACCACATCGTGGTACTTTTGCTGAGTGATTTTCTGTCCTAATGCAGGGTGACCTGGTGCAGCTTCTGCTCCCCTCAACAGGCGGGTCCCTGGTGTGGGACCCCCAGCCTTGCCATGGAGCCTCCGGGGCAGCCTGGGCTCCCTACAGGATGAGCTGTGGCCACCTGCTAAGTCCCTAGGCTGCCCAGTCACGTGGCCAGCTAGCGGCAGCTGCGGGCCTGCATGGCAGCCTCCGTCTTCCCAGGCCCCAGCGCCCAGCCCAGGCACAGGCCAGGGCCTGCCAGGGCCACCGACACACCCGGGCTCTGGCTTCAAGCCCGCAGGGACGGGCCGCCGCCCGGGTGCCGCCCCACACAGACCTCCGCGAGCTGGAGATAGTTCTGCTGTGACCAGCTGGCCAAGTGCCAGGGCCCAGGACACCAGCTCAGCGTCCTGGGATTCGCCATGCAACGCCCAGAGCTCAGCCCCCCATTTCCTCAGCAATCACCAATTCATCACAAAGGCTACGGTCAGAGCCGGGGAAGACGCTCGGGTGCGGCTGGGGCTTTGGGCCCCGAGCCAGAGTGAGCACCTGGGCGGCTCTCCGGCTCCATCCTGAATCCCGAGCGGGCCCACTGGAGTGCGTGTGTGTGTCCTGCTCTGGCTTTCAGGCCCTCTGTCTCCATCGCGCTGGCGGGGGGGACGTCCACCTGGGCTTCCAGTCGCTCCTCAGCGAAGTCAACAGGACCGGCACGCAGTACCTGCTCAGGACGGCCAACAGGCTGTTTGGGGAAAAGACCTTTGACTTCCTCTCAGTGAGTCGGGCTTGCTGTGTGCATTGGGGGGGCGGGGGGTGGGGGGGCGTCTTCTGTGTCCCCGACCCAGGGGCTGGCCTACAGGCCGATGTTCAGAACTGAAGAGGGAGCCGGGGTCTGGCGGGGCCCTGGCAGCCCCTGAGATCGGGGGCCACGGACTCTGGCTGGGCGCCTGGCCTGCCCCTCCCCCGGGGCAGACCCCGCAGAGGCCCCGGTCAGCAGGCGCCTCCACAGGCAGCCGCCGTGTTACTTGTCTGTGGCTGGGGTAGAGCAGCTGGACAGCGGGCAGCTGGCCGGGGCCCCGTCTCCTGGCCCCGCACTGTGTCGCCGTGACGGAGGTGCTGACCTGCCCTCACTGGTGTCCTGGCGTCTCCCAGGCCTTCAAGGACGCCTGCCTCAAGTTCTACCAGGCAGAGATGGAGGAGCTGGACTTCGCCAACGCCGCGGAGGAGGCCCGACACCACATCAACGCCTGGGTGGCCGAGAGGACGGAAGGTGAGAGCGGGCGCCGTCGGTCACCTCGCCGACCCGCCCCCCCACGTCTCCCTGGAGCCAGGGAGGCCCCCTCCGCACAGCGCCCACTAACCGCCCTCCGAGCTGCTGTCCACGCGCCACGCCGCAGCTTTGCCCCTCACGGCCACGGCCCCCGACGCCCACACGTCGCCTCCAGAGCGGCCCACACGTCTGTTCCCGCCAAAGGCTGACGTGGTCTTCTCGCTCCAGGGACGGCGCCCGCCATCTCACGGGGTGTCTGTCTGTCTCCCCGTCGTCAGCACGCCTGTGCCGCTGGCCTCCTGCGCTGTCCAGGGCCCGGCCCGGCCCCCCGCGGGCCTCTGTCAGTCGTCTCTCTGCTGGCTGCGGCCTCCCCTTCCCTGTTGTCCCCACTTCCATCTCCGCTGGGGCTCCCCACCCCGAGTCTCGCTCTCGCTGCAGATTGCCCGTGTTGTGTTCAGGTGACAGCATTTCTCTTACCGTAGTGTTTTTATTCTTGAAGGTCCAAGCTCCCTCCCCATGTTCCTGTTGGGACGGAGAACGCCTCTGTCCTGTGCGCGATCACGCGCTGAGATGGCCCGTCAGGTCCCGTCTCCAGGCTGCTGCCTCGGGAAACTCTGTCCTAGCTGCTCTTTCATTCTGCCTTTGCAGGTAAAATTAAAGATTTGCTGCCTGCGGGCTCTGTGAATGCACGGACCTCTCTGGTCCTCGTGAACGCCATCTACTTCAAAGGCAACTGGGCTCAGCAGTTTGACAAGCAGCACACACACGAGAGACCCTTCTATGTCAGCCCGGTGAGTGTTTCGCAGTAGCGAAGGACAATGTTGGAGACAGGCCCTGTGTCCCCAATGGTTCTTTTATTTTGGTGTAGGATAACTGGGATGCAGGCCAGAGTTGTGGAGGTGAGAAGATTCACCAGAGATAGAGTGGGGAGCAGAGCAGGCAGATTCACTGAGAAACACTGCTGAGGGGAGCAGTGGGCAGGACAAGAGAGGCCTGCAGCGCCATGTGGGTCAGCATCCTGTTCAGGGATGGAACTCGGGCCCGAGCACTGGCAGCGCTGAGACATAGCCCCTGCGCCAGCAGGGAGGCCCCACATGAAAGCCTCATCTCAGGTAACTCCGGCTCACCTCCATGCTACCAGTCAGCCTTGGGGCTTTTTGCTCCCCTTTGCTCTGACATCAAGGCTCAGACCCTCAGCAGCTGGCCCAGCTCGCCTCCCGCCTGCCCTGTGCCAGCTCTTTCCTGGACTGCAGGTCTCTGGTGTGGGTCTCTCCCAGAAATGTGGGGATATAGCCTAGGCTCCAAAAGTGTGTGCCTGCCACAGACCCCGGTCCCCCACATTCCAGGCCACACCACGGACACCCCTCCCTTCTCCCTGCGGCGTGTGTGGCCTTACTGAGAGCTGTCTCCCCAGCGGGAGTCTGTCGCCTCACTAAGCTCCTGAGGCCCAGGAGGTGAGATGTCCCACCGGCCCCAATCACAGGTTGTCTGAGGGCAGAACAGGTAGGGTCTTAGGTGGGAGTGGCGTCCACAGGGGCGATTCCAAGAAGAGGAAAAGGGGAGCGGGTGCGAGGAAGACACTGGAGTCGGAGTTGGGTGCAAGTCTTCCTGCTCTGGTCTCAGCAGAACTTTATATATTACAAGCGAGCAGTGGGATGACATTAGCATATGAATTGAGCAGAGAGATCACAATCATCTTTTTTTTCTAAGAACAGTTTGGGTTCGTATTGACCTTCAGCTGAGATTATAACATTTATTATTCTTAAAATCAATCCATTAAAACAGGTGCATAAGTTCATAAAATTTAAGACTAACATTGCTATATTTACCACAGTGATGAGTGGCTAAAATAAAGTCCCTTAGACCCTAATTACTATTTAATGACCTTCATGCTTATTAAAACATCCTGTAGGTGAAAGAGGGTAAGTCAAGTCAAGGGCTAGGGTGGAGAAGTTTTCTTGTAAATCAGTCCCTAAAAGAGTTATAGTAAAGTTCCTAATTTAAAGACTAAACAATAGAAAGCTTAAGTAGTTCCTTAAAGACTAAATAGCAAGCTTAAGTAAAGTTTCTTATGTAAAGACTGAACAATTGAAAGCTTAAGTAAGAGAGTAGAGTGATGGGATTTGGGTTCTCACCAGGCAGTAAAAGAACTCTGGTTATCTTTAAACATGTTCTAGGACTGCCTTGTTTCACAATATTGATTTTGTTATAACAGCCATTGCTTTTATTAATCAGCCAATTATAATATTACTTTTGACTTCAAGAGGAATTTCCCGCCCTGGGCAGTGCCCACTCGCCTGGACTAGGCAGTGCTTTATGCGGCTGAGGCAATCAGTTGTAAACTGGTGGTTGCTCAGAATATTTTGATATTACGATTATAGAAAAAAGTGACGTCGTAACATAAATTAGCATGGAAATTCTGATTTTCAGAGCTTTTCCCTTCCATCCGGAATTTGTCGATCTAGAGAAGCTGCAGAGCTTGTGTCAGTGAGAGAGGTGGAGGTGCAGGGGGCCAACCTGACGAGAGGCTGAATAAACCATGGGCACGAGTGTTTCTCTGCTGACTCAGCCTCCGTGCACCCTGCACCCCCCAACTGCCCGGGTGGCGGCGGGTGCTCAGACACCTCATCTTACTTCGCTTGGGGTGCAGGAGGTGAGGAGGGCTGGGGGCAGTCACTCCGTTACTCAGAAAAGGTTGGTGAGAGTGGACAGTGCCAGGGCCCAGCAGGGCACCTTGCAGCCCTCTGCTCACGACATGGTCTGGGGTGGGGTGTCAGGAGTGGGGCACGCCTGTCCAGCCCCAAGCCACGTGCCTGGCACCCGGTGTACACCAGGGCCCTCTGGCCACTGTGCGGGGCCACGCTCGCAGCGGAGGGACGGGCTGGCAGCGGGACGGGGCGACCAGCGAGATGCCGAGTGTGCAGAGGGGGGTGGCGTCACTGCTGATGGCAGATGGGCCGCGACAGAGAAGCAGGGCAGGGATTCGGGCTTTGTGTGGGGGACAGGCGTGGGGTGCAGACTTGGAAGGAAAGGTGGGTGCCCAGGGGGACACAACTCTGTTTCATTGCCCAGAGTCGCCCCCAAGCAGCTTGGGGAACCTGGGCCTGGCTGCAGGGCCGCGCCCACACTCGGGTTTCCAGTCAGAGCCACGAGAGCGGCGGTAAGCACCGAGGGGGCCCGGCACGCCGGCTTCCGGAGTCGAGGCAGTGAAGGCCAAGGCCAAATTGGGGTGCTGATGGGGTTTCAGGAGCCGGGACAGCACGTCCAGGGGCCCAGAGCGGCCATCTCTGCCAGACTCATCCCCTAAGTGCACTGGGTCCTGTTTCAACGAAACCTTTCTCCACTCCCGCTGCAGAACGAGGAGAAAACTGTGCAGATGATGTTTCGGAAAGCTCCGTATAAAATCACCTACATCGGAGACATCTCTACCCAGATCCTGA